CTGACAGCTTTAAGAAAAGAAAGCGTCCCTGGGACCTGTCTGAGGGAAAGAAGAAGAAAGTGCTTGAAAAATGAGGATCAGCAATTTTGACCTGGTGATGTATCCAGCCATACAATGATGATGAAGGATAGCTGTTTAGAAAGAGAGCTAGGAAGTGCTGATGTTTCCTTTGGAGTGGCAGGATACATCTAGCAATATTGTGACATTAGACTTTTAATTTGAACAACACAGGTTTAATACACAGGTAAGTCATGTTACATAGTAAATGGTTTAAGCCTTAAGGAAGTAACTATAGGTCTGAAGTACAGTTTAACAAATACTGTTGGGTCTCTGACTTCCCAGTTTCCTTTTTCCTTTTTGTATTTCCACTCCTTCCTCCATTCCTTATTAAAGTACAGTGTTAAAACTCAAAAGACATTTTATCTTTTGTTTCCCTCTTGGCTTGTTTCTAAATTTTCCCATTAAAAGTTTATAGAACATTGTATTTGTGAGTAATTTTTTAAGTATTTCTGACTTAGGGGTATGCTTATGTTCCTGAAATTAGGCTACAATAAACAATTCCAGGGGTTAACCAGACACTGATGCTGTAGAACTGGGGAGAGCCATTTGTGTAATTTCCTCTCTGCAGCCCACTCAACATGATCAGTTCTGCTATCTTCCTCTCTTTCAGTCACTTTTGCTGCCCTTTGGATCCCACAGTATTCTGCTATTGGCACATTTCTCTATACCCTATCTGCTTTCCTGTCATCTGTTTTACTCCCTTTCCACTTTAGTCCAGATTTCTCTCACAGCTCCCCCATATTCCTAATGTCCTCCTGTCCATTCCCACTTCCACCACCTGAACTGAGTCCTCCATACTCTCCTGCTTGAATTAGTGAAATATTCTTATCATTCCTCTGCTTTAATCCAGCTGCTAAAGTGATCTTTAAATGTATATTTGAGGGTAAGGAGAGGACTTTTATTTAAGCAATTCTATATTGCTACCAAGTTTTAAAACATGTGTGTAGTACTTTTGTTATTTAAGAAAGGAAAATATCATTATATCACTCCACTGTTTAAAATCCTGCTATAGCTTCCACTGATTGCCAGATAAAACTCAAAATTCTTAATATTATGTGCTCCATTAACTGTGCCACCTCATCAATTAATCAACTTCATTAAGTGACTTCTTGCTTTTCTCTTGTTCTCCCAGATGACTCTGCCAGGGTTATCAAAGATGCTCAGTTCTGAATAATAATAATAATAATAATAATAATAATAATAATAATAAATAATAGCACCAATGAAAGAATCTATAGTCTGCCAAGCATTTTCAATGTGATCTCATTTTTCAACCCTGTAAGGTAGGCATTACATCTGTTTCTAGAGTCACTGAGGATCAAAGAGGTTGTGACTTCCCTAAGGTCACATAGTTGTTGGCAGTCAGGATTTGAAGCCAGTTCTGTCTAGCGATAAAACTTATGTTCTTTCCACTATACCATCCTATCTCTGGAATGAAATGTTCTGGGTATGCTAACCCTACCTTTAAAGAAAAATTACTTCCTATCTTTACACATTAGGAGGCAATTTAGTATAGTAGTTAAGACCATGAGCTCTGGAATCAAACTGCCGATGTTCAAATTCCATCCCTACAACTTATTAGCTGTGTAACCTTGAATACATTTATTTCTCTGAGCCTCAGCTTCTCCATCTATAAAATGGGTATAGTAATAATAGTTCCTCTCTCATAGAGTTGTTGTATTTTTAAGATGACCCATGTAAAATATTTAGTATGGCAAATAGTATGCATATCCTCAATAAAGCATAGCTATTATTATTATTATTATATTGCTGATACTTCTCAAAATTCTGTTTACCCTTTTGTTCATGTAGAGCTCCTGATCAGTACATCTGAATCCTGGTTTGCTATATCCTAAATGTCCCTTTTGTGCATTTCTGTGTAGCCAAAAGTACCATAATTATATTGTATTGATTTTGCTTCTTGAGAGTGATTTTTGCAGATATAGCTTTAGATACACAAATTTTATTAGTTCATACATTAAATGGCTAATTGCTCAAATGCTGGCCACTTGTTAAGGTGTTACTTAATGTCAAATTGCTTTAGCATTTCTTATATAAGTACTAAAAATAGTAATTCATTCTTTTCTTCTATCACAGGACTCATCTTTTTCTGCCCTATGTGTAACGATCAGTTCCACTTGCTTATCTTCACAGTGGGACCTTACAACAGCCGGAATAACCTCCTGGTGTATATTATCTGCTCTTCAGTTGGCTCACTTTCTGTATGAGGTATCTAGTTTGAGCATTGCCTTGAAGCAGCTGTTTTGGGGAAGCCAATCACAAAACCAGCGCTGGGTGGGATTCTCTTGATTTGTCCCGTGACTTGTGTAAACATTCAAATGAACTATCTAAACAAGTTCTTGGGTATTTTCAGTACCTACGAAGCCATTCCCATGTAGTATTTCCTTTTCCCTATTGCTGTCATCCCCTGTACTGCCATTCTTCTCAAAGGTAGCATAGGCCCTGAACAACTTTAGTGGTACCACCTGTGGTTTTCTTGCCATAGTTCTTGGCCTTTCTTCCTCCATGCCTTTTTAGATATCCCTTTTGGTCTGTACTTGTTGTGTTCTGACTGGAGATCAATAAATCTAAACAATATCTTTACTCTTCTGTGGAATGAAAACGAAGGTTACCACTCTTTTGAGTTAGACAATGCCAATAAGACTGAATAAGAGTATGAAGAGTCTTAAGAGAACTATTGGTTGGTCTTTGGAATAAAATTTCTCCCTAGATCGATTTTTTTTAAATTAAGGCATTGATACGAGAAAAAAAAAAAAAAAGATTTTTAAAAAGGGACAATCAACTGTCTTCCATGTAAAGGCTATTTTCCAGGGGGGTTATTGACATTGCCGTTTATAATCCAAACTCCTTATGGAGATTTATTTGTTCCCATAAATAAATACAAAGGTCTTGCTTTGTATCTGTCTAGATTCCTATTGTTCATTCATGGACTCATGGACAGGGGTGTTAGGGATAGTCTGGTTCCAGTTTTCATAGTATGCCTGGTAAAACCCTAGTGGCCCTAAGTCAGTGCCTTAGGGGTAAGGGCATGGGGGGTGGAGGGGAGAGGCCACAACAGTGGGCATACCTCCAGATACCCCTGCCACCAAAGCAGCTTTGCTTGATTTTCTATTTTCTATATTAATTAGGCCGGCCTGCCTTCCTCCCTCCCTTCCTTCCTCCCTCCCTCCCTCCCTTCCTTCCTCCCTCCCTCCCTACCTCCCTTCCTTTTTCCTTTGGTACGTGCCCCTAGTGGGAACTGAACCCGGGACTCTCTGGTCCACAGGCCGATGCTCCAACCGCTGAACCAAACCGGCCAGCGCTATATTAATTAGGCTTTCAAGACAGATTTCGTTTCAGGAAAGAGTCTGCTAATCCAATCCTTTTGTTTTACAGTCAAACAAAGTGTTTGTTTGACTTGAGTGTTCTACCCTGAATATTTGAAATGAGAACTTTGAATATCATTAGAGCTGAAAGTACCACATTTTATCAAGGTTCTGAAAATAAATTTCTGAGATTAACAAAACAAATAAAAGCTCAAACTGTTCCTCTGGCACTCAACCCCCTTGAGGATTGTTACAAACTTTCTGACTCTTCTTTCCCATTATTTTGTGCCTAGTAATGTCAAACACATCCGTTGGTGCCCAAGCATATTGTATGCATCTGACAGAGACCCTCCTTCTCATTATATTAGCTGAGTAAGCAATACAGTAAAACAAAGACATTTAAGTTTGTTTCTAAGTGTAATGAGAATTAATACTAGATGAATAAGAAACAATGCTATAGTAATAAAATAAATAATATATAATATAATAAAAGAATAAGGAAGAAGGAAAAGACCAAAGGACCTTTCCTTTATGACCTGAGGTTTTACATGAACACACTAAGTTTTGCAGGAAAAAAATCAATAGGGGTATATTGACACAAGGTATATGCTTGATTTTTCCTGGATCTCAAAATGGCATTATTCTTACTATGCTGCTGCTACTTCTTTCCCATGTACATGTTCTCCACACAGCAGCCAGACCCTAAGTTATAAGTCACATCACTTGTCTGCTTAAAATCCTCAAATAGCCGTGGCCGGTTTGGCTCAGCGGTTAGAGTGTCCGCCTGCGGTCCAGAGGGACCCGGGTTCGGTTCCCGCTAAGGGCATGTACCTTGGTTGCAGTTTGTCCCCGGCCCTGGTTGGTCGTGCGGGTGGCAGCCACTCGATGTGTCCCTTTCACATCGATGTTTCCCTCTCTCTCTCTCTTCCTCTCTCTCCCTCCCACTCTGTCTGTACAAAAAATGGAAAAAAATAAAAATAAAATCCTCAAATAGCTTCCCATCTTGCTGGGTAAAATCCAAGTCCTTCCAATGGCCTATAATACCCTACATGATCACCACACAGCCTTGCCCTGCCCATACCACCCACGCCCCCAGCCCCAATCCATTTCAGGCATATTTCTCAGTTTCTTACCTTAGTCACTTCACTCCAGCCTTACCGACCTTTTGAGTGCTCTATCTTAGTATCACAGCATGCATCTCCCACTCGGGGACTTTTGGACTTGCATCACCTCTACGCGAAATGTTTTTCTTCCAGAAGCCTACATGGTTTGGTTACTTAATTGATATAACTCTCTGCTGAAATGTCATTGTTCCAAGGCCTACTCTAACTATCTTATCTCAAATACCGTCCCATGGACATTCCCACACTCTTACTCTGCTTTTTCTCCATAGCACTCATTATACTGACATATTTGTGTTTAATGCCTGTCTCCCCTCACTAGAACATAAGCTCCACATGGGCACAAACTTTGTTTTTGTGCACTGCTGAATCCTGGGCACAAAGTAAGCACTTAAATGTTTGCTGAACTGTTTTTATTAGGATATTTTTTAAATTCCTTGTTATGCCTATATACAGGATAGCTAAAAGGACTGGAGGCTTCTAGAAATGTTATTTCCCCAGCTTTCATGGATTTGCACTAGAGGCACTGAACAACTAGTTCTACTCTAGCTCTATATCCAGTCCACTAGGATTTGAAGAGGAGAATCTAATCAACGTAACCTCTTCTACTATACACAGGGATTTGACTGTCAGCACTGAATTCTTTCCCTCCCCATCTCACCTTAAGGTTCTCTTTTCTCACAAAAAGGTCAGGGATCCCTGGAACACTGTGCTGTAACTTGCACAGAGCAGGTACCCAGACTGACTACATTTTAGCCTTGGAACTAGTGCACACCAAATCTCTCCAGGGTGCAGGCGATAACCAGAATAGAAAGCCTTCTCAATCACACAGTTGAATCTTGTAGAAGCTTTTATTTCAGTGATCAAAAGAATGCAGTAAATGGAATCTATACTGATTGATTAACTCTAGGCATGCACCTCTACTTTAAACTGCTGTTCGTTTTTGATAGGCCTAAATCTTTACAACTTATTTAGGCACATCTTTTAATTTCTTGGACCCTGATATACAGGGTAGTTAACTTCTTCCTTGTGGCATTTTAGTAATGAGAATTATGTTCACTAGCTAGAGTCCTTTATAACTAAAGGCCTCTAGATATTCAGGCTGCCTGTACTACCTTGAGATCATATTTTATATAGATATTTAAGTAAATCACAGTATAAGGAACGGAGATAATTTAGAAAGCTGAACTGTATTGTATGACCATTCCATAAATTTTTTTCCCTCACTGATGGTCAAAACACTAGAAGTACCAAATCACTCTTCCCCCATTGCCACCCTTTCTCAGAGACACCAAGATGTGTACCAGTGTCCTTAGACATCTGAAACAAATCCATGCAAATAACAAGATTTTACCCATGTGGTCCCACTATCAAATTACAAAAAGCAGTTCCACTATTCAAATTAGAGGAAGCAGTTAATGGGACTTTCAGAAAAACATAGTCCCACATACAGTAATACGCATCTAGGAAAGTTTTCCATTCATCTGTTAATTGTTTTCACAAGATTAACATTAAAAAAAAAAAACACACACAAACACACACACATATGACCCTCAAACCCCAAACACACAAAAAATTGGTCTTTGTTCATTCTCAGATGACTGGATACTCCAAGAGTGCCAAAGGTGGGAGCCAATCCCCCGCAGCCTTTTCTTCAACCATTTTTTAACTACCTTCCTTTTCCAAAAAGGTAATGCTGAAATCAGTCAGAAAGGCTTTCTGAGAAGACTGGCTTGGATTTCTGGGTCTGTTCCAGTCGATTCAAGATGAATTGGCTTGTATCAATGAAGCGCTCAACGCAGTTCACAAAACAGGCCTCGGCCCGACTGTCCAACTTTGGCCCAGGCTTGTCCATGCACTTCTCCTGGTCAGGAAAAGATTAAGAATCACGAAAGGAACTTTTTAAAAAAGGAAAAAGGAGTAACTTCTTGATGTTTAAAGGAAAAACTTCACTTAAAAATAGTATCTGATGTGTTAATAATAGTTCACGTTTGGCAGCAGCTTACTTGGTGAGAAATTTTCTACAGCCTCATATCAAATTCTCATAAGCCTACAAAATAGGTACTATTATCAATCCTCATTTTACAAAGAGGGGAGCTGTGGCATAAAGATACTTTGCCTAACGTCAAAGGACCAAAAAACTGTGGAGCTGAGCTATTACAAAACAAAGAAAATGGCAAAATACAAGTGAATTGATCCTTCACTGAATTTGGTTACAACTCCACAATGCCAAATGTATTAAATGCCTTTAAATTTACTGCAGAATACAAGGGTGAAAGGAAAAAATCATTGCAACAAGGCACCCTAAAAAAACCTACCAAAGAAAATCTATGACCTGAGATTCTGTAACTTTGTATACTTAAGCCAGAGGTTCTTGAATCCATCTTGAATCCAAGATGAATGGAACACTACAAATTTTCCTAAAGCTTACAGGTTCTTGGGAGTCCTTAACCACACCCAGTACTGGACCAAATGTAATGAATCAGATTTTTAAAAATAATCAAAGCACTCTGGTCCAAGGCAGACAGAAGTTAAGTAATCATTTAAGGGTCATAGTCCAGCAACACCACGTTTATGGGAAAAGGACTATGAAAACTGATGGCTGTATATGGTGCAAGTTAAGTAGTTCAAATGAATTTTGGTTCTATGGTTGTACACAAGCCTCAGATCCTCTACTTTCCCCCCCAAAAAATTACCCTTGGCCTCTCAAACCTGTGGGTTTTGTATGTCAGGGCAGGGCAGTTATGCTGTCGTTGGCAGCCAGAGAACACTTTGATCCCGAAGTGCAAATGCCTTCCACCCTTTCGCCAAAGTCCCCTCACAGGACATACTCAATTCCTCAACATTCAGACCCAAAGCAATGCAACAAAAAGGTAAGTGTGGAGACACACCACTTTTATAGTTAGTGGGCTAGAGCCACTCATTTCTCACAGAGGAGTTAGAGAAACTGGGTAATCAAGGTAAACTCTGAGGAGTCCAGGAACAGGATCTTTGCTGATGCCCTGGGACTCGGAGTTCCAAAATTAAGATCCCAGTATGGGGGGCTCTGATCAGTCTCGCTGGCCTAAAATGCTGGTTGAGACAGCAGCACAAGTCTACACTGATTCCCAGTCCTCTGCACCAACAAAGCCTAGGTAGAGTGACAGTCCGCTGAGAAGCGGAGTCACTTTTTCTCCCATCCAGCTCGGCCTGTGGAATCTAAGGGAACTGGCGAATCTAAGGGTGCTGTCGGGTGCTCCCCCTCCCCGAACCCCGGACGTCGTGGCGAGTCCCGCGGGGCAAGGACAAGGGGAAAGTAGGTAAGGTGGCCAGGTCCCAGCCCCACGCTCCTCACCCAACAAAGTTCCGTCATCTGGTGCACCAGCTGCTGGAAGCGCTGCTTCTGAGTCTCCACTTCGATGAAATGCTGCAACTGCGGGTCCACTGAGCCCAAACCCGCCGCAGAAGAAGACGAAGAGGAATCCATCCCAGCCCGGCCACGCGCGCCGAGATGAACTCCGTACCAACTCACCGACCTTCACGTGTCTCCACCACGGAACCGGAACCACAACCCGCTGCCTTGGGGACCGCCCCCCGGTGAGCGCACTGCACCTGCGCGAGCCCTCACGCGGGCCCCGCCCCTTGCAGGACGCTCCTCCCAGAAGCCTCAGCGCTTCGTTCGAGTCCGCGCCTCCTGGCCTCTCGCGCGCGTCTGTAGTGAGTCCGTTAGGCCGGATGGGATCCCGACCCCGCTCCCTTCCCTCCGCCCTCACTGGCCACTCCCCCTGGCCGCCCGCGCGCCCTCTCCCCGCCCCGCCCCCCCCCCAGTGCTGCTGCCCGACGCCTGTGCGCCCTGCTCCGGCGCTCCCGCGCTGTGCAGACATTATCCCGGAAAAAAGAAAATATAAAGTAAAAAAGGAAGTTACTGCAGACCACGTGGCCTGTTCCTGGCCAGCCCAGCAGCCCCGCCCCTGCCTGCTTCCAGGTCGGCCCGCTCCTTCCTAGCTGCCTTGGAAGTGCCAGGCCCGGACTGCTGGGCCCTTCTGGCCGTCCTGGCTCCCCGACTCTAGTTCTTTAATGCTTTTCCCCTCCTGAGTTAGGGAAAAGAGGTCCCAGCAGAATTCGTTTCCAATTGTCAGTTTCATTCCAATAATATTAAATGCCTACTATGTGCAAGGCACTGTGCTTTAGCTTGTTAGTTTGTGTCTGATTCAGAGGCAGAATTTTCCGAGAGCCAGAAGGGTTAAATGCCAAGGATCCTGTCGAGTTCTCAAGGTAGGAATGTGTCAAACCAATGCCACACAACAGTTTTCTGGAACACTGAGATAAGGCGTTTCAGGGAGGCTGCATGACTAATCGAGATAGCAAGAAACCTTCATGCTTTCCAGTAATTTTATTTTATCAAAACACTCTTCCCTCCCATTTTTATGACACCGTTTTATTCTTGCCCAATTCAGCCTCCCTCCCTGAAAGCTCTAATGCTGACCCAAAAGAGCTGTTGGAACCCTGGTGAGGCTATTTACATCCCTCCCTCCACAAAACTGTTTCCGTCCCAAATTCAGTTTGTCTTAATACTCTTGGGAAATTTCTTCTCTAGAGGATAGTACCAAGCACAATAATGCCTTGGCCTTTGCTCAGAAGGTACTATCCCAGAGAATCAAAGAGAAGTAGCCCTAGATGTAGACTGGGGTCTTTGAGTATTCTGCTAGAGCACAAAGGCTCCAGGGCCTGTAGTCTGGGTTTGCCTTGAGAAAGTGAAATTGGGGTTTGTGGAGGAGATTAGAACCAGGAAGCTTATTGGTGAGCTCAGGATTCTTCATCCATGACATCTAGAATGTTGCTCAGAAGAACTTTGAAAGTGGGACGTTCGTCTGCTTTCTAAAACCAAAGAAAAAGTAGAGTGTTATAGTGCTTTAAAATCCAGAATTCAAGGGAAATGCAATGAGTATGCAGCAAATGTTTACTAAGTATATACTATCTGCCCAGTAACATACCTGTTAGAAAAGAGAAAAGAAATAGTAGTGCTCTATAAAAGACTTGCACTTTTCATCCTTTGTAACCTGGGTTATTAATGTGATGAGGACAATTTGCAAATGAAACTAACATATTGATTACAAAAAGGAAAATTTGTTATATAATTCTACACCAATGCATTCTAATTTTGAATTTTTTTCTACTGATTTTAGAGAGAGAGGAAGGGGAAAGGGAGTGAGATAGAGACATCGATGAGTGAGAACATCGATTGGCCGCCTCCTGCACGCCACCCCCCCCCCCCCAACTGGATTGGGCCCACAACCTGGCCATGTGCCCTGACCCGGAATCGAACTGGCAACTTCTTGTGCCATCGGACAACACTCCACCAGTGAGCCACACCGACCAGGCTGTATTCTTATTTTGTATCCTCAACTGAAAAATGGCTACCAAACAAGTTTAAGTGGTTGACAGAATTGAAATCTTACAAGCTTTGATCATTTTTAGTTCGGTTTCAAACACCATTTCTATCATAGTCAAAATTAACAAAGGAATTAACATTTTAAGACCATGGGCTGCATCACTGGGCAGGGATTCAGACTAAGGCCCTTATGTCATGGTCCGTAAGCCTCTGAGGAATTTAGTGATCCATGGCATATTCATGCCAGAAAGGTCTCAATTCGTTGGAACCAAAAAGCCATCAATTTCTTGTTCTTCTGAATCAGTGGTTCTCAAACCTGGCTGAGTATCAGAATTTCTTGGGAAGTTTAAAAAGATATGCCTGGCCCTGGCCAGTTTGGGTCAGCGGTAAGAGCGTCCGCCCACGGACCAGAGAGTCCTGGGTTCAGTTCCCACTAAGGGCACATACTTTGGTTGCAGTTTGTCCCCGGCCCCAGTTGGGGTTGTATGGGTGGCAACCGGTCGATGTGTCTCTCTCACATCAATGTTTCTCTTTCTCTCTTCCTCTCTCCCTTCCGCTTTATCTGAAGATAAATGCAAAAAATGTCCTCGGGCTCGGGTGAGGATTAAAAAAAAAAAGATATGCCTGGGTTCCAGTCCAGACATACCTCATCAGAATCTCTGGGGATAAGGCCCAGTCATCTGCAGTTTTAAGCATTCCCCAGGTATTCTGGTGTGCATCCAGTTTGGAGACTACCACTTTAAACAGGCTGTGGGGAAAGTGCCTCTCTGAAACAGTTAGCTAGCAGAGTGAGGATGTCCTGGTTGGGAGGGAGCATAGCTAATCACCCTTAATCCTGCATGGCACAGGAGACAGAAGGGAAATGACTCCAAGGGTTTATTCATACTTTCTTTGTAACCTCAGCCGCTGTTGAAGGAAAATATGCCATACTCTGATCCAGATCCCCAATTTTTTACCCCACCAAGAGGGTTCCAGATTCACTTGTTGGACACTGTCTGTCTTTCTCTGTTTCTGGTGGGGCAGAACTAAGAGTTGAGCATTTCTTTTTTACTAGAGATTTAGGTTGCCAAATTGAGATTGCTGAGAATCTACTGAAAAGTGGACAAGGCACCTCTTGAAGAACCAAAGGTGAGAGCGACAAAGCATTTTAGTAATAGTGGGACATGCCCTTTATTTTCAAATTACCACATGCCCCATAATATACCATATATTTTTAAAAAGAGCACTACCTATTTTACCTCCCTTTTAGGTCATAGGGTCTTTATTTTTTAAATCTCACTTAGGACCACAGCCAGAAAATGTTGGCAGTAAAATAGAAGAAAGGACTAATGACTCCCGAGGGCATAAACCTAAATTTTAATGACTTTTCTTTTTTTTTTTTTAATTCCCACACATTTGTCTGAGTGCCTTTGGCTGCATATACTAGGTGACATGGCCTCACAACACCCCTTCTCCCTAAAGCTGAGTTGATATTGAAATCTGCTAATGAAACTCTAGTGAGAATTGGAGTGGGCTTGGGAAAGCTTCTGGCTATCAAAGGATTAGGGTTCAGGCTGGGGTCCTAGAATGTGTGAAGTTCCATGCAGCCAGGGAGAGTGGGACTGGATGCCTGGCTAGCTAAATGGGAAATTAGGTTCAGGGAAGTAATTTAAGAGGTCCCAGTAAAACACTTACCTCATGCCAGCAGCTGTACATGATGGTATATACCCTCTCTGAAGCTAGATGAGGCCTGTAGAGACGTAGGCCTTGGGCAATATGTTCAGCAGTTTCACTGTTAGTAAATCTCTCATACGGCATTTTCCCCAGAGAGTAAATTTCCCACATCAAAACTCCTAGAAAATGAAAAAAAGATCCTGGTTAGTTTTCAGTCTTTTCAGGTAGCAAGAACCCCAGTCTTCCTAAGATCAACCTCAAAGATTAGATTCAGCTGAGTCTCTCTGTGCTTTTGTCCAAACTTCCACTATAGTACTGACCACACTGGAGGCCAATTGGGGTTGCACTGGACCATTAGCTCCTCCAGGAGAAAGACAGCATCTTATTTGTCTTTGTGGTTATAGGGTCTGGCAGAGTCCCTAGTACACAATCTGTATTCAGACGCTGTTGAATACTGAATGAATTGTTTGTTTCCCTCAATATTTTGTAAATTCTAAGAAGGCAGGGATCATGTCTAGTTTACTGGTTTTATCCCCAGAAATCCTGTGGCGCCTGACATAGTCAGCATTCCCTAAGAATTAGATGACTAAAAGCAAGAACAAATAATCTCTCTGTGCAGGTTGCAAAGTGTCAGTTTCCCCATTGGTTCTTCTTCCTTTGAACTGTATAATCTGTATAATCTTAATCACTCACCAAAAGCCCAAATGTCAGATTTGCTGCTAAACTTGCTGTACATAAGGACTTCTGGTGGAGACCACCGGACTGGAAATTTGGAGCCTACTGAGCTTGTGTATTCATCATCCAGAACATACCTGCAAAGGATTCAGGACTTGTTAGTATTAGGATTTGGAGAGCTTGATATTTACTTACATTTTCTTGGCATGGTCACAAGAGTTGCACAAATACATGCCTATAGGCCAGTCAGTGTCCTTTACAAATGTTATTTTTTAAATATGTTTTTATTGATTTTTTAGAGAGAGAAGAAGGGAGAGAGAAATAGAAACATCGATGCGAGAGTGTCGATTGGCTGCCTCCTGCACACCCCCTACTGGGGATCGAGCCTGCAACCCAGGCATGTGCCCTGACCAAAAATTGAACCAGGACCTGTCAGTCCATGGGACAATAATCCACTGAGCCACACCAGCCAGGCTACAAATGTTATTTTATTTATTTTTTATTTTTATTTTTTTTATTTTTATTTTTTTTATCCTCACCCGAGGACATTTTTCCATTTTTTGTTCAGGTAGAGTGGGAGGGAGAGAGAGGAAGAGAGAGAGAGGGAAACATCGATGTGAAAGGAACACATTGAGTGGCTGCCACCGGCACAACCGACCAGGGCCGGGGACAAACTGCAACCGAGGTACGCGCCCTTAGCGGGAACCGAACCCGGGTCTCTCAGGACCGCAGGCCGACGCTCTAACCGCTGAGCAAAACCGGCCAGGGCTACAAATGTTATTTTTAACATATTCCTGTTCTTATATCTGATTTAGCTTTCCTGATTGACAATATGGTTACAGCGAGGGTAAAGTGAA